TTGATCACACCATGATGGAGAAGATATCATTCAGATTGAAACAAAGGCTCCAGCTGCTCAAAGGGAACCGGGGTTGGATAACCTAACTCAAGTTTTCTTAACACGAGGAAACGTTTTCGCAAGCTCTGTAGCCGGGTGGTTGCGATCTAATAATTGGAGTTTTTTCCAAAGGAATGAACTTCTATGCCAACCCAGCCACCAAACATCCTTCTTCGTAGATAGTTCATACGAAGGGGTAGTTCATGTCGTGAAGATTTTCAAACAGTGGTGATTCATGTTGAGAGTGGACATCTGTAAACGCTGTATCATACGGCCTTGAAAAGCCCTAGTCTGTCCAGCTGTTCCGAATGGTAGCTGATGGCTTATCGTTCACGATTTACTGGTCCGATTGGTTGACTAGTGACCAACCTAGGGCGGTTTTGCTGGAAACGGCTGTCTATAGCAGCCATCACCGGCTTTCTTCATTTTTTTTCTGTTCGACGTACATTCAGGAGTGACTACGCAATTTAATGTAATTGACAACATAGGGGACAAGTCCTTTATTTGCCATCAGCGATGAAATCCAAAGAATTGAAACCCGTGTGGAGTTGCGATGATTCCCACAAGAACCGGATAGAGGTAATAGTGAACTTACAACAACTTACAAAATTTGACTCACGTAGTTCAATGCATGTTCTCACTGTTCCTTTCACAAACGTCTGCTCACACCTCAGCAGCGAATCCTGAGGGGCGCTAGTGTAACGCCGAATTCCCTACTCGCATTATCGGACCAAATGACGGTCATCCGTTGTCTAGTTACACAGTGAGTATGTGTCACTCTGAAGATATCATGTCTCTCTTTTGTGTATACCCTCCCCCTGACGGGTTACATTCTGGATCGTATCAATAGTTTTCCGCATCAACTATTCAGAACCGGGGACATTAACATTGTTTTAGGATATGTGATATCGAGAGCACGTTCATTACTATACTCCGCCTGTGCTTGTCCATATCAGTGCTTTTTTTTATCCCTTTTCAATCTGTCTATCATGCTTAGCCCACTTGTTCTCGTAAGTGTTGGCTCTATTTATTCTCAACGTTTTTCCAGAGACTTTCGCTTTCAGTTTCGAAATTCCGTTAATACATTTCTGGTTTATGACGCTAGATAGCAAACTTTTCTGTATAATTTGAGTGCTAGCGTATCTATGTCTGTATGCGTTTTGCACCTTCAAACTGTGAAATGTTGCTACAAGGTTGGGTTGGTTCAGCCCCCAACCTCACCCTAACTCGGGAAGTAATAAACCAAGTAGGTGAATTTTGCTATTTGGCGGACGCGGCACAGATGAATTGTCGACCAGCAAACAGAAGAGTGGATGGGGATCCCAAGATCATGGTAACCGGTGGTTAGAGACACTGCGTGATATGCCTAATTGTCGCGAGCAGTGGCGCTCCCGCATCTACTCAATATTCTTGCAACCCCAGTACATGTGAATTCTCTATCTTCCGATTGAATTTGCTTTCAACATTCCAATCTTCATTCTGTTGGACGGCCAAGGGACAGCAACCAAAACTGCCGCACGAAGGTGCATGGTAATGATTGTGAAAACTGAACTGAACAGCATAAAATAGAAACCTCAACTAACTGTTCGCAGTGATCTGGTTCCAGGTTGAATCTGACGGTATTCCTAACTAACAATATATATATATATATATTGTTCAAATAGTTGTTTTTTTTTATTACACGAAAGTGAATACAGTAAAAGGGGTAAACCCTATGATCCGAAGATATACTGTAAGTGGGAAGGTGTGGGGAACATTCAAGCT